AGAAGGAAGTCAACTATTGAATATTGCTAAGACAAGGTAGGCCAGTCCTTCAAATTTCCTACATCACAGAAAAGTCTGTCAGATATTCTAGGCCTGTAGACTGAAGATGAATGGTCCAAAGTTTTAGAGGAATCTTAAGTGACTGTTCAAGTAGCCAACTGTCTCTTTCATTCATGTAGTTTTGGAAATTGTTTGCTATATATTTCATGTTTACTCAGGTAATATTTTATCCTACTCAGGTCTTTGATTGGGGCTGAAGACTAGATAGTTATATCATATCCCTTGTTTCTAAATTCAGAAAAGAAACTTCCAAGGTAGATTTAAATTTTATAAAGTTGAAAGATATAAAAGCTTAAGTCATTTATCATGAGAATGTTTTAAGGTCAAAACAGATAATTTTAGGTTGTAATATGAGTTATGATAGAAACATTTTAGCCAGCCAATGGTCAAACATCCTGCAGGCAGTATGCTCCAACACCCTCTCATTTGATCCTATAATCTACAAGTCCCACTCTACCCTCAAAGCCACTCTCTCCCCCGCACAACCTCAGTGGCTCTCTGAGACAAAGACTGGGACTGCATAGAGCAGACCAAGAGGTAAGAAACCAATCCCCCCACAGCTGGAGAACCCAGTCTCTAGGCAATAGGTTCTAGGCCCCAGGGCAAAGTCCCAGGCCCCTCCCACACCCACTTCAGTTGCACTAGGCTGGCCCTGGGCAAGTCTCCTCCTGGCAACTTGCACCAACAACACCACATTGGACCCTATAATCTGAGTCCTACTTTGCACACAAATTCACCCATTCCCCCACAATCTCAGCAGCTGTCTGGGAAACACACTGGGGTTGTATGGGGTGGACCAACAGGTGACTGACCAGTCCCTCAGCCAGAAAATCTACCTAGGCCAAGAAGCAAAACACTGAGGTTCTTCCCCATTTGCACTATCCAGTCAGCAGGCAAGCCTCCTATATGCAGGCTGCTCCATCACCAGCCATAGGACCCTGTAATCTATCATCCCCACTCTGTCTCCAAACCCACCCATCAACCAAGATCTCAGTGGCTCTCTGAGGCACAGACTGTGACTGAACAGAGTAGACCAAGAGGTGAGTGATCACCCAGTCAGCTGGAATACTCAGTCAATAGGCACTAAGCCCTGGGACAAAATCCTGTAACCCACTTCCATCTGCCTCAATTGCACTTTCAAGTCATTGGGCAAACCTCCTGCAAGCAGGCTGATCCAACACCCCATTATTGGGCCCTATAATCTACAAGGCCATCTCTGCTCCCAAACCCACACTTCCCTCCAGCCACCTCATTGGCTCTCTGAGACACAGACTTGGACTCTACAGAGCAGACTAAGAGGTGAGTGACCAGTACCTCAAACAGACAGTTCAGGCTCTGAGTCCTAGGTCCCAGAGCAAAAGACAGGCCCCCTCTTCCACCTGGATCAACTTCACTAGCCTGCCAGCAAGCAAACCTCCTTCAGGCAGACTGCTCCAACACCCCCTCATTGGACCCTGTAATCTATGAGTCCCACTCTGCCCCCAAATCCACCCATACCCCTACAACCTCAGTGGTTCTCTGGGACACAGACTGTGACTGCACAGAGTGGATCATAAGGTAAGTGACCAACCCCTCAGCTGAACAACCCAGTTTCTAGAGTCTAGGGCCCAGGGGAAAAAACCCAGGCCCCTCCCACACCTGCCTAAGCTTTACTAGCTAGCAGACAAGTCCTTTTGTTTGTCTCCATTCAGACTTCTTGAATGCCCCCACCCACATTGGAACATTGTAGATTTATAAGTCCCACTCTCCTGTGGGACAATGGTCTGTACCCTGTCACTTGTATTTTAAATAAATGCTGATTGGCCAGTAGCCAGTCAAGAAGTATAGGTGGGGTGACCAGGCAGGAAGTAGAGAGGTGGGGAAATGAGAATTCTGGGAAGAGGGGAGTTTCAGTCTGCAGTTGTGACCCAGATGCAGAGGATGCAAGGTGGCTCAGATGTTTGAGTTCTACATCCACATCTACATCTACAGGTTCAAGACTGTGCCTGAAATTATCAAGCCTCACAGAATATTCCAGCCAGGTCTTGACCATAGTTCTCAATTTTCTTTAGGTCCCCATAAGATAATCAACACCCACAATCATCAGGGGGTGGCCTGGAAAACTACACCCACATTTCTCAAAAAATATATTATTGATGTTTGTCTTTGTTTAGAATGTTGGTTACAAGTTGTTATGGATAATGGTCAGGAGAGAAGCTAAACAAAGGCAGGAATCATAGGCAGGGCAACCAGGCATGAAGTAGAGGTGGGGCAACAAGAATTCTGAGGAGAGGAAAGAGTTGGTATACAGTTATCACCCAGTCAGAGAGGAAGCCAGACACAGAGCAAGCAGGATGTGTAGAAGGAGCTGTGGGTAGGCCTGCTTTTCACCCAGCCCAGCTCCCACATGGCTAGCTTAGCCCTGAAAATAATAACACGAAAACTGTATTCTTTTAAACACTGCCTAGCCCATTAGTTTTAACCTCTTATTGGCTAGCTCTTATATATTGATTCAACCTGTTTCTAATAATCTGTATCACCACTTGATTGTGGCTTACCAGGATGAGTCTAATGGGTGTCTGTCTCAGAGAAGAGAGGCATGGCATCTGCCTCACTGCCTTCTTTCTCCCAGCATTCTGTTCTGTCTTCTCCACCTACCCATGTAATGACCTATCAGGCCAAGCAGTTTTCTTTATTAATTAACCAATGAAAGCAACAGATAGATAAAAGACCCACCTACATCAAGGATGTGACCACCTCACCGAAAATGGTACCAGGCCACATGGCTAACACAAACAAGAATTATGGGCTAATAGTTATAAGTGTTAATAAGAAGTCTGAGATACTAGGCAATCAGTTTATAATTAATGTAGACCTCTGTGTGATTTATTTGAGACTTAACAACTGTGGGAACTGAGCAGAACAAAAACCTCAGCCAACACCACTATACTCTCAAACCCACCCATCCCCAGAGATGTTGGCATTTCCATGAGACACAAACAGAAACTGCAATGATCAGTCCAAGAGAGAATACCTGAGACAGAGCCACAGACTGCAAGGACTGAATAAATAGGCAATGACCCTGCCTACACTAATTAGAAGAAGAGATAGGCAGGTGTTAATGCAAGAATAAGTTCAATAACCTAAAGAGCAATAGGGCAACACAAGAACCTAGTGGGCCTACAACAGGAAGACCTGAATATACTAACCCAGAAGAAACAGAAGAAAATGACCTTAAATAAAACTATATGAAGATGATAGAGGCCTTTAAAGAGGAAATGAAAAATTCCCTTAAAGACATGGAGGGAAAGACAAACAAAAAATTAGAATAATTCTCTTAGAAAAATTCAAATAAGTTAAGAAAAAACAATTAAACAGGTTAAATAACATTCAAATTTTTCAATACTTGAGAACTGAAACAGAGGCAATAAAGAAAATACAAATGGAGAGGATTCTTAAGAATGTAAAAGCTGTGTAAATGAACAGGAACTATACAAGTGAAATAAAGTATGACAATAACTTTAAAACTTGGAAGAAAGATAATGAAGTCACCAGAAAATGGAAAGATCTCCTATGCTCTTGGGTAGGTAGAATTAACATAGTAAAAATGGCAATCTTACCAAAAGCAATCTACAGATTCAATGCAATGCCCATCAAAATCCCTGCAAAATTCTTTACAGACCTCAAAAGAACAATACTCAATTCAAGAAAAACAAAAACCCAGAATAGCCAAAACAATCCTGTAGAACAAAGGAACTTCTGGACGCATCACAATCCCTGACATCAAGTTCTATTATAGAGCTACAGTAATGAAAACAGCCTAATACGGCTAAAAACAGACAAAGGAACCAATGGAATTGAATTAAGACCTGGATATCAATCCACATAACTACAAACACCTGACTTTTAACAAAGAAACTAAAAATATAAAATGGGGAAAAGAAAACATATTCAACAAATGTTTCTGGCATAACTGGATATCAACATATAGGAGAATGCAAATACATCCATATCTATCACCATGCACAGAACGCAAGTCCAAATGGATCAAAAACATCAACATAAAACCAGCCACACTGAACCTCATAGAAGAGAAAGTGGGAAGTATACTTGAACACATTGGCACAGGAAACCACTTCCTAAATATAACCCCAGTAGAACAGATACTGAGAGAAACAATTAGTAAATAGGACCTCCTGAAACTGAGAAATTTCTTTAAAGCAAAGGACATGGTCAACAAGACAAAGTGGCAGCCTACAGATCTTCACCAACCCCCTATCAGACAGAGTACTGATCTACAAAATATACAAAGAACTCAAGAAACTTGACATCAAAAGAACAAATAACCTAATAAAAATGGGGTACAGAGTACACAAAGAACTCTCAACAGATAAATGCCAAACTTTACCTGGAAGGTCACAACCTGTGGTGATACACAGATATAATAGAAATGAGTTATTTTAAGAGGTAAGAGTTGAGTTAGTTAATAAGAAGCCTGAGCTAATATATTGAGCAGTGTTTTAATTAATACACTTTCTGTGTGATTATTTCAGGTCTGGGTTGCTGGAAAACAAACAAGCAGCCTCCATCAACAATCATAAATATGGGAAGAGGATGGAGGAGTTGAAGGGAGACAAAGAGATTTGGAGTCATATAGGGAAGCTAAGATGCTATAAAATTCTAAAAAACACATACAACTTTTAAGAATTTCACATGGCAATACTTTACATGAACTCTTTCATTTTTTGGACCTTTAATACCATATGGAAATCTAAATTGAATTATAAAACATTTTAAATTAAGCTCCATTTCTATGATTTGTACTTCTTACTGAGTTTCTACTTTGAGGCCATGAACTCAGGCTCACAAATGTTGCAGAATGATCTCTGAATGAGTTCACAGTTTTGCAATGCAACTTTTGAGTGTAGGTCAAAGTATCTGTTTTTTTTTTCCTATCAATAGCTGCTTTCATAACAAACTGTGTGGTGTTCATGACTTTTTGCCTGCACTAAAAATCTTATGTAACAGTATTTGCTATAAGTTTCACAGGTGGTCAAGGCTGGATTCCTTACAGCACCACAAGAAGCTCTTTACCATGTCAGACTATAATTGGTTTGAAGGAATACCGTTCCGTGCCATCAGGTTTAAAAAAGAAATGATTGAAGAGATTCTTAATAACTTTGTGATGAGAGATGAAGACACAGTCATAGTGACTTACCCCAAATCAGGTAAGGAGCCTTAGCGAGAATGGTCATGACTGTCTGAGGAAGATTAGGACTTTGATCCTCATTCATTTGGGTCATGAGCAGAATGCCATATAAATCTTGTGGGTGGCACAGAGAACTGTGAGAACATTTCTACTCAGAATAATACCTCTAGCCTGACCTGTGTCTTCAGAGGATCACCTAAGGCACTAGTTCAAGGACAGTAGTTCCTAAGGAAGACTCTGGAATTGGTCTGTCTTTGTAGGGAAGGAGAGGGGAAATGGAAAGCAATGAGATGAAAGAGAAGAATTAGCATCAAGAGATAATAGCATGGATGTAAGGATATGTGAAACAGAGTACAGTGTTGGGCAAAATTAGCAGAGACCTTTTGCAGATAGTAGAAAGAGGCTGGAAATTCAAAGGGCTAAAAAGTGGCAACATTGGGGTTTGGAGGAGGGATTTTTGCCAGATTATGGAAGCACTGAACATTGGGTAAATATTCAACTGCTGACATTGAAAGAGCAATAACAAGGAAAATCCAAGGGCAGTGGGAAAGCAGGAAAAGGATTCAGAGAGGAGCCCAGAAAAGTGAAGCTTAGAAACATCCATTGAAAAATGAGCAGATACATATAAATACAAGTGTGTGTGGTAAATAAAAACAAAGAGATTTATTCACCTTAAAAAGTAGTGCTAAGGCACACACTGTAGCATGGATGCATCTCAGTGGGATTGTATTAAATGAAAGGAGCCAATCTCAAAGGGCAGTTGATATGACTCCACCTCTGGGAAATATCTGGGATACTCTACTTCACTGCACCAGAATATAGAATGATGACAGCCAAAGACTGGATGGGGATGTTCAGTAGTCAGGGGGTGTTTATAGAGTATACTGCCAGTTTTGGAAGATGATGCAGTGGAAATGTGCTGGATGAATATGTTTTGTAATTACACCATATGGACATTGTGAATACCACAGGTCTGTGTACCTGGAAAGAGCTACACTGTAAATTGCATGCTTGTATCTTCTACTAGAGGCTTGCTCATAATTACAGTTGAAATGGCCATCACTTTTCCTTCTTCTTCAGGAACTCACTGGCTGATTGAGATTGTCTGCTTGATTCAGACCAAAGGAAATCCCAAGTGGATCCAATCTGTGCCCATCTGGGAACGCTCACCCTGGATGGAAACTCAATTAGGATATCCAATAATAATCAATAAGGAAGGACCACGCCTCATCACCTCCCACCTTCCCTTCCATCTTTTTCCCAAGTCTGTCTTCAGTTCCAAGGCCAAGGTCAGTGCCCAGTGGTTGATAAGTCTTTGACCAAATGCCCTTTGAACTTAAGCTCCACTGAAAGACACTGTAGTTCTTGCTGAAATGCATTCTGACTGTGTACATTGTAGGAAGGAAGCTGTGATTATCATGCACTAGGTGATGCTGATGTGTCCTCTCACCAGACTACATCAGAGTACCAGGATGTTGACCACCACACAGTGATTCTGGGCAGATTTGGGATAGAAAGTGAAATATCATACTGGAGCCTTCTGGAACTACATATATAAGTCAGGCAGAATTCAAACATTAGTGTACAGTGGATAGTATTCTTTTGCTGTCACCAAATTCAACTAGCTAATATTAATTCTACAAAAGTCCCACATCCTGTGGGTGAATTATCCAAGGCAGAATTGTTCACAGGGGAAACAGGCTGACCAAGCATCAATACTCTAGTCATGGAGATTGTTCAACAGTCATGTGTCATTTGTACCCACTTTATTTTGTTGTTTGGCTATCTATTGATATCTGTAGTCACAGTAATCTCCCATGTCACTGACAGAGGATCTCCCCAAGGGATCAGAGATATCTAATCATGGATACTTTTCACTAAGAAAGTTTTCAAAAAGTGCCTTCACTGGTAGTCTAAAAATATCTAAAAACTTAGAAAAATAATCTGTCTTAAAAAGGCACAATGAAGTTGTGATTACTCACCTATATGTATGCGTCTTAACTAGATTTGGCAAACTCTTGGCCAATTATTTTCATGTTTTTCCATTTTAGATTCTCTATATCATAAGAAATCCCAGAGATGTTCTTGTGTCTAGCTATTTTTTCTGGAGTAAGACAAATCTTATTAAGAATCCAGAGTCACTGGAAACTTACTTTGAATGGTTCCTCAAAGGAAATGGTGAGTGTCCTGTGAAATATAGAAATTTGGGGATATTTGGAAACTTTTTACAAACAAGATGAGAGATAGCTTAGGCTGACCTTAAACTCTCTATATATCCAGCAATGACCTTGGAACTTGGCTCCTCCTGAGTCAACCTCCTGAGTTCTAGTACTAATAACACCTACTACCATGCTCTATGTATTTGGTGCTATGTCTCAAACCTATGTGTTATCTAACTTGGCAATATCCCGAGCCCTTCAGTACCTTGTGTTGTCATCACATGGCTCCATTTTATTCATTGACATTCAATTAGTATATGAGTCAAAAGCTTATCATCATTTCAAACCTGATTGTCAAATCTTCATTATCTCATGAACCACCAAAGAACAGGGCACAACCAGAGTTTCTCCCATGACACATCATTATGGCACTATCTGCAGTTTCTAGTCTTTTCATTACAATACAGGTATTAACATTTGTGGTGGCTCGAATGAGAGATGGCCACACATAGACGCTGGCATTTTAATACTTTTTTACCAGTAGGTGACACTGTTTCTGAAGGTTTGTGAGGCACAGCTTTGCTAGAGGAAATAAATCATAGAGGGTGAGCTTTGAGAAGTTAAATCCTTAAGCCGCTTCCAGTTTCCTCCCTCTGTTTCCTACTTGGGTTTGAGGTGATTAACTCTTAGCTTCTTGTTTCTACAGTTCTGGCTGACATCTCCAGCCTTTTGCTTTTTCCTCTCATCATTTATTCTTATCCTCCTATAATCATGCGCCAAAAGTAAGCTCTCTTTTAAGTTGTCTGTGTTCACAGCATTTAATCACAGCAATAGAAAAATAACAAATGGAGTTTTCATCCTACCATATTCCTCACTTGTGAAATTTTTTAGTCTTTTTCTCATTGCCTTCCCAATATTTTAGCCTGACAATCCACCATTTTGCAAAGATGCATTTTTCCAAATATTGTAAATATTATTTTCTTTTTTGACACAAATTATTTTCATAAAAAAAGATTATTTATGCTTTGATTTTATTTAGCTTTTATTGGTCTTTATAAACTATCTATAGTAAAGGGGTTGTTTTATTATGACATTTCTGTACATGTGTGGAAGTATTTTGATCATATTCCCACTAACCTCTCTTGTCCTGTTTCCAGCCTTGCTGATCCCCTTTTTCTTAACTAGCTCTCCTTTTTTATTTTTCAACTTTTTATTTATTTATTTTTACATTTTGAGTAATCTATCTCTGCAATATCATGTATGTGTGTATGTATGTATGTATTAATATGTGCATAGCACACATGAATATGAAGGTCAGATGACAACTACTTTTGGGAGTAACTTTTCTCTCTCCAACATATCACTTCTGGGTATTAAACTCAGGTAGTTAGGCTTAGCAGCACTTGGCCTTTAACCACTGAGCCATCTTGTTGACACCAAGTTCTTATCTTAGAAGACATGTGAATAGACAGGTTGGAATATTGACATATGTTCCCATCACCTTGATTCATTAATAGAAACCTTAGGGTCAATTGTGATTTATCTTACCAAAAGTTCACTCACTTTTCCCTCTCATGGAAATTATTTTTTATTCATTTTACATAGCAACCACAGTTCTTCCTCCTTTCCTTCCTCCCACTTCCCCTTTCCCCCAACCAACCCCTATACACTCCTCTAAAAGGGTATGGCCTCCCATAGGGAGTCAACAAAGCCTGGTACATTAAGATGAGGCAAGACCAAGCCCCTCCCTCCCTCATCAAGGCTGAGCAAGGCATCCCACTACAGGGAATGGGCTCCAAAAGTCAGTTCATGCCCCAGGAATAGATCCTGGTCCCATTGCCAGGGGTCCATCCAACAGACCAAGCTATACAGCTGTCAACCTCATGCATGGGGCCTAGTTCAGTCTCATATAGGCTCCCCAGCTATCAGTCTAGAATCCATAAATTCCAATGAGTTCTGTTAAGTTGTCTCTGTGGATGTTCCCAGCCTGATCTTGACCTCACACCCAGCTCATATAATTTCTCCTTCCTCTCTTCGACTTGACTCCTGGAGCTCTGCCTGGTGCTTGACTGTGGATCTCTACATCTGCTTCCATCAGTTACTGGGTGAAGGTTCTTTGGTTAAAGTTAGGGTATTTACCAACCTGATTACAGGAGAAGGCCAGTTCAGGCACACTCTATGCTTTTGCTAGGAGTCTTTGTTGGAGTTATCCTTATGGTTTTCTTGGATTTTCCCTAGCACCAGGTTTCACTGTAATTGCATAATGGCTTCCTCTATCAAGATACCTCTTTCATTGATCTCCGACTCTGTTCCTCCCTCAACTCGATCATTCCATTCCTTCATGTACTCATCCCCCAAACCCCTCCCCTCTACAATACTCCACCTCAGATTTAACCCAAGATATCCCATGTATTTTACCTTCCCAAGACAATCCATGTGTCCCTCTTAGGATCCTGCTTGCTACCTACCTTCTCTAGAGTTGTAGATTGTAGTATGATTATCCTTTGCTTTACATCTAGTATCCACTTAGGAGTAAGCACATGCTGTTTTTGTCTTTCTTCGTCTGGGTTATTTTTTTTCTAGTTCCATTCATTTGCCTGCAAATTTCATGATCTCATTGTTTTTGTTTGCAGCTGAGTAATAATACTTCATTAAGTAAATGTACCATATTTTCTTTATCCATTCTTCTCTTGGGGAGCATCTAGATTGTTTCCAGGCTCTGGCTATTATGAATAAAATTGGTATTAATATAGTTAAGGAGGTGTCCTTGTGGTATGATTGAACATCATTTGGGAATTTGCCCAAAAGCGGTAGTACTGGGTCTTGAGGTAGATTGATTCCCAATTTTCTGTATAAATCACCATACTGATTTCCAAAGCAGCTGTACAAGTTTGCACTCTCATCAGCAGTGGAGGAGTGTTGACATTACTCCACATCCTCTCCAACATAAACTATCCTCAGTGTTTTTTATCTTAACCATTCTAACAAGTGTAGGACAGTATCTTCAAGTAGTTTTGATTTCATTTCCTTGATAACTAAGGAGGTTGAGCAATCCCTTAAACACCTTTTGACCATTTGAGATTCTTCTGTTCAGAATTCTATGTTTAGATCTGTACCCCCATTTTTAATTGGATTATTTGGTATTCTGATGTCTAGTTTCTTGGGTTCTTTATGCATTTTGGATATAAGCCCTCTGTCAGATGAGGATTTGGTGAAGATCTTTTTCCCATTCTGTGGGCATCGTTTTGAGTTGTTTACTATGTCCTTTGACTTACAGGAGCTTTTCATTTTCAGGAGGTCCCATTTACTGATTGTTTCTCTCATTGTCTGTGCTGCTGGGGTTATATTTAGGAAGTGGTCTTCTGTGCCAATGCATTCAAGGCTACTTCACATTTACTCTTCTATCAGCTTCACTGTGATGGGATATATGGTGAGGTCTTTGATGGACTTGGACTTGAGTTTTCTGCATAGCAATAGATATATGGATCTATTTGCAGTCTTCCACATGTTGACATCTAGTTTTGCCAGCAACATTTGTTGAAGATACTATTATTTTCCATTGTACACTTTTGGATTCTTGGTCAAAAATCAGGTTTCATAGGTGTGTGGATTAATGTCAGGATCTTCAACTCAATTCCATTGGTCTACCTGTCTGCTTTTATGCTAATACCAAGCTGTTTTTATTACTATAACTCAATAATAGAGCTTGAAGTCAGATATGGTGATACCTTTATAAGTTCCTTTATTGTGCAGGATTGTTTTAAGTACCTTGGGTATTTTTGTTCCATATGAAGTTGAGTAGTTTTTTCTTAGGTCTGTGAAGAGTTGTGCTGGAATTTTGATGGGGATTTTATTGAATTGGTAGGTTGTTTTTGGTAGGATCTCCGTTTTTAATATGTATATACAATCTATCCAAGAAAAAAAAAGAGATCTTTCCATTTTCTGTTATCTTCATCAATTTCTTTCTTCAAAGTCTTAAAGCTATTGTCATTCGGGTCTTGCATTTGTATTATTAGAGTTATCCCAAGATATTTTATGTTATTTATAGCTAATATAAAGGGTGATGTATCTCTAATTTCTTTCTCAGTCCATTTATCATTTGTCTATGGGGGGACTACTGATATTTTAGTTAATCTTGTATTCTGACACATTACTGAAGGTGTTTATAAGATTTAGGAAATCCCTGATAGAATTTGTGGGATCACGTATCTATCTATACTTTCATATCATTTGCAAATACCAAAAGTTTGGCTTCTTTCATTTCAATTTGTATACCCTTGATCTCCTTTCTTGCCTTTTTACTCTAGCTGGAACCTCAAGTATTATATTGAAAAGATATTGAAAGAGTAGACAACCTTGTCTTATCCCTGATTTAGTGGAATCATTTTGAGTTTTTCTCTGTTTAATTTGATATTGTCTCTCAGACTTCTGTGTATTGCCTTTATTATGTTTAGGTATATTCCTTATATCCCTGATGTCTCCAGAAACTTTATCATGAGTGGGTTTTAAATTTTGTCAAAGACTTTTTCCAACCTCTAATGAGATTATCATGTGTTTTTTATTTTCTTTCAGTTTGTTTATATGGTGGAATACGTTGATAGATTTTCATATGTTGAACCATTTCTGCTTTGCTGGGATGAAACCTACTTGATCATGGTGGATGATTTTTTTTTATGTATTCTTGATTTCAGTTTGCCCGTGTTTTCTTAAGTATTTTTTCATCAATGTTCATGAGGGAGATTGGTGTGTAGTCCACTTTCTTTGTTGCATCTTTGTGTGGTTTGGGTAACAGAAAAACTGTAGCCATGTAAAAGAAGCTTGGCAATGTTCCTTCTGTTATTATTGTGTGGAACCATTTGAAGAGCATTGATATTAGCTCTTCTTTAAAATTCTTGTAGAATTCTACACTGAAACCATCTGACACTGGACCTCTTTTGAATTTGGAGATTTTAACGACTGCTTCAATTTCCTTGGGGATTATAGGTCTATTTAAATTGTTCATCTGCTCTTGATTTCATT